CATTGGCTGAGGCTGGTCTGCACTCGTCCCATGGTGTGAAGGAGCCGAAGAAGAGTGCTGATGCGGCCGTTGCTATTCAACAGGTAGACAAGGGAATGCGCAACACTGAAGTCGTTGTGATTGAGGATCTGATGGCGGAGCCATCATCGGGCGCCCTTGCTCAGCCTCCCCCTTTGAGCATGGAAATCCCTCCCACCAGCGTTGGTTCTGGCCGAGGAGAAGCCAACTAGCTTGTTGAGGTTGTTGTTCGCTATCCTCCAAAGGGGGGCATTTTCAATGAGACCGTGAGCGGCCACGAGATCGTTTCCCATGCCGTGCCAGATGAGGACCGAGCGTATCTAGCCCGGTTGAAGAGCGTCGAGTTGTACGACGGAGCAATGGATAATCCTTCTCCTTACGCTTGTCTTCGAGCCCGATGTGGGGCGTCATGAGCATTGATGTTGATCTGGTTAAGAAGGTCAGCTGCAGGGTCGATAGTCTCCTAGAAGACCTCTTCCTCGACTACCTTGTCAGCCGTAGCATCGTCCGTCCGCTGTTGGTGTTCACGAGGGTCGGGGAGAGTCATACCAACGAGGTTCCTGTTTGATCTAGTCTTTCCCATTTCAGTTAGCTGTGTCTGGTAGCGACGAATTGTACTAACTCAATTGTTCTAGCTCTCAATGAATGCACCAAATGATAGAGTATTAATCTAGAGAGATGTGAGAGCTAGAGAGAGAAAGTGCTAGTAGTTAATATTTCTCAACCCCCTACAACTACCCTTATGGGAGTATTTATAGAGGAAATGTGGGCTGGGCACCCAATATGGGCCTGGGAGGACCGGTACAAAATAAGGCCTTTAATGTGCTGATTACATGATATTTTGGAGTTACGTGTGAAATCTAATCGGTTGGAGATAAGTTGGTCAAAGAGGGTCCAGGTAATAATGTATTTATTAATATTAATTAGGTTGTCTAATTATAGTAGGAATCTCAATGTATCTTTGACTCTCTTATTATAAATAATACTTCCCGGGATACCATTAAGGTACGCTTCCTCATAATTCTGACATGGTATCAAGAGCCCTAGCATTTTAATTTTTTTCGATATTCATGTCGACTGAGGCTTCTTCATCGACTACAATGGCCGCGCCTACCATGGCAGCGCCGCCGGCGGCGATTTCAGTGTCCGCCGAAGCCAGCCAGACGCAGAACGAGATGGATATTGCCTTGTCTTCCGTCCAATCCGTCTTCAGCTCGCCTGCCTCGTCCATGCCTAACCCATTGACGTTCGAAAATTGGGTTCCACCAATTTTTACATGGAATCCAACGACGACTGCTATTCCTTCTCTGCCGCCAGCCGCGTCGTCCATCACTCTGAACGACCAGATTTCGTTTGCTGCTCAGGCCGTCTATACCGCAGCTTCTGACGGTGTTTTCGCTGGTTCAACACTTCTTGGTTCTCCAGGCCTGTCCATGATTCCGCAAATCTGTCCTATTGGTACGAGAAATCAGGTATTATCCAGCAATTCCTCTTTGGCCGCGCTGTCACAATCATTGGGATTTTCTGCCATGAACATAACGAATATAGTTACTACTAAATTAAATGTTGTCGAAGATTATTTACCGTGGCGAACACAGTTTGAATCCTTCTTGGTGTCTCATAGTTTACTTGGAATTTTGGATGACACGATTGAAACCCCTTCTATGCATGTGACGAACATCCAAAATTGCCAAGTTATGAATAATGAATATTGTCATTGACTCAAATTGGATCAAACTGTACGTTCTTGGATTTTTGCTACCCTATCTCGTGATGTTTTGTTTAAGTTCACACAATTAAACATGCTCGTCTTATTTGGGATCGTCTGGATTCTCGGTTTATGTCCGCAAGTTTAGCCCGATCCATGGAATTGAAGACCACGCCCATTACCTTGCAGAAGAAAAAATCTCAATCCATGGAACAATACCTGTTGGAGATACGGAAAATAGCTGAAGCACTCACTGAAATTAATTCTCCAGTTCCCATGAAGGATTTACTTGAGCAGAATCTTATTGGTTTGGGTCCTGATTATCGATCTGTAGTTACTCCGCTCACTCTTTTTTCTGAGGGCCTCACCTTTGACAAGTTATGCACTAAGCTAGTCCAGCAGGAGCAATGTTTGCTTTTTCAACAAAGACAGGAACAACAATTTGGCTCCCCGGCATTTGCAGCACCTCAGGCCGCTGCTCCACCACCTCCTGCCGCACCCCGTGCAGTCGCTCCCCAACGGCAGCCGCAGTACGCCCAGAGGGGTCGGGGAGGCCGTCGTGGACAGAGAGGCCGAGGAGGCCGTGGTCGTGGTGCCCGGCACTACGGCCAACCTCAGTATGGCATCAGGCAGTTTGGTGGACCTCCTCCGGGCTATGGTTTTTATCCTCAGGCAGCTTATGGCCAGTATGGCGGGCGGCCATCTGTACCTCAGGGACAGTCAGGTACAATTGTAGGTAATTCTGTTGCGTCACGGTATTATACTAGTTATGCTTTATCTACTTATATTACTAATCGTGCATCTGCAGGCTCTCCATCTTTTGAGCATAGCTTTGGTACTGTTCCTCCTCCGGTTCTTTGTCAGATTTGTCACTCGCCAGGTCATTCCGCTGTCACTTGCTCGTCCCGATTCATTCAAGCCTCTAATCCTGCACTTGCTGTGTCTACTGGTGAATCCACATCTGCTGTCTGGTTTCCTGACTCCGATGCATCTGCTCATATGACGCCTCATGAAGGTATTTTGTCTCATAAATTCTCTTCTTCCGGATCACTTTCTGTCACAATTGCTAATGGGTCTAATTTACCGGTTGCTACTGTTGGTAATGTGTCATTATCCACCTTATCTAGGCCTCTCCATTTAAAATCTGTTTATTATGTTCCTCAAATTAAATATAACCTACTTTCCATTCAAAAATTATGTGCCGACAATAACTGTGCCGATAAAAATTCTATTTTTGTTAAGGACATTCACACGGGGAAGGTTCTTCTTCGGGGTTCCAGTGATGGTGGAGTTTATCCCATTACCTTTTCTCAGCCGTTAGCCCTTAGCTCTCACATGGCACCTGGTCCCGTCTGACATCGTCATTTGGGACATTGTGGAAGTCGAGTATTAGATAGACTCAAGAAAACTGGTTCTATTTTAAGCACATCTATTTTCTCTCATGATTGTATTTCATGTCGTTTAGGCAAATCTCAACGTTTACCTTTTCAGGAAGTTTTTCATAAATCAAAAGTACCTTTATATTTAATTCACTCAGATGTGTGGCAGTCTCCTGTGTTATCTACATCTGGCTTTAAGTACTATGTTCTTTTTATTGATGATTATTCCCGTTTTACTTGGTTGTACCCCATGCGCCGATGGAGGACCAGTCTTCTGCTCCTGTGCTTCCGGGCTACATTCCGTGGCCCGATGAGTTTGGACGATGGAGGGCCATCTGAGCGTCGTGGTCCTTGCACTTGTTTTCTAAGTATGTGGGTCATATGGTCTGCACTCATATACTCTATCACTTACTTAATCATTTCCATTTTATTTCCACTTTTCTAAACTCCGATTCAAGTGAAACCAAATTTCTTTTTTTATGAAACGGAGGGAGTATGAAAATCTTGTGATAATTGTAGACCGGAAATAGATTCCCAGTGAGTAGGTCATTTTACGGAAATGGATTGAAATTGTTAAAGTTATTTTCTTACGGACCCCTCCCAGTTGTCCTTACGTGTTGTTTAATGGGCAAGCCACAGGTAAAATCTATGATATAGATTGTTTTTACACTTTTTTAATCCTAAAAAGAAGTTCTCACTTTCTATTTTTGATGTCCGACAAATAAATTCTCAACTACATAAAAGAAAGGGAAAAATACTATAATATTACTAAAACTCACCACTTTTCCTAAAATATGACTACAGATGTTTTTTGATGTGGTGTATGACCAAATTATGTGGCACAAAAATAGGAACAATCGATAAAGATGAAGTGCTACACGGTTGTCTCTAAAAAATAGGATGTCAATATTAATCATATGGATGACAACATGCATCATTATAGGAAAAAAACACAATTAGTCATACTCTAGGAAAACACATGAGTTTTAGTAATATTTATAATAATTCTCTCTAAAAGAAAATCACCTTTAAACATAAAATTCCAATAATTGTTTCTTTATATTGATTTAACAAAAAACAAGTGTATATTTGAATAGTCAAAAACAAAACATTAATTTGTAGAGAAAATCGCACATTTAGTCCCTAAAATAGTCATCATATTGAAATTTCAGATCTGTGTTTCCCAGTTTGCAAATGTCACCCTCAATTGCCCAAATTATTATAAATGTGATCATTTGAGGGGTGAAATGTACAATGTGGGTGAACAATACATTTCACCCCTCAAAGGACAAAATTTACAACAATCTGGACAATGGATGAGTGACATTTACAATTTCATAAATACGGATCTGTCATTTCAATATGGTGACTATTTCAGGGACTAAAAGTACGAATTTCCCTAATTTGTGTGCAGGCTAAATCAAGAGCTTGGTTTTCGCATGGAGGGAATATACAAGGATTGAAAAGGATGTAAATTGATAGGACTAAAAGATACTACCTCTGTCTCAAATTGATTTGCAAAATTGACTTTTCTTGGTCAAACAGTTTCTTTTTATTTACTTAATTAAGATGTCAAATTTTCATTATATTTTAATTTGGAGTTTGAAACTTTTATGAGATTTTAATGTAGTTTCTGAAATCTAAATTTTAATTATTAAAAATTGAATTAATTATCAATATAGAAGATTTAACTTTAATATTAGTTGATCAAAAAATGTTGACTTTGCAAATCAATTCGGGAGGAGTTCAAGTACAGTTTTGAACAGTATTAAGCTATGTTTGGCAAGTCAAATCTGGGCTGAAATAATTCATATTCAGTCAATTATCGTAAAAATAATCTTGTTTGGCAAAACAACTTAAGTGAAATAATAGAAGTGAATTGGAACGTTACCTACCTTAGCGTTTCCATTCAGCAAATTGTGGTTTGGTTCCCGTCTTTCTTTCTCCTCAGCATCTCTTTCTCTTAGACTTCAATTTTTGGATTCGTCTTCGTGCTTTGGAAAATTAATGATGTAAGAGTGATAGTGAATTTATGGAGTTGTATTTGCTTTTTTTTGCTATGATTGACATACATGAAGATTGACTACAAATGATTAATTGTGCAGTGAGTCCAATCCCGCTGGTAAGAAAGGAGCAAGCAGTTTTCTACCTGCTAGGGATGTCGGAAGAAGAGACAAGCTGCAACCGGCCATATTAAAATCATAACTATTCTCTTAATGTATTTTCATATTATTCAACACTTTTTCAGTTTTTTCTACCAAACGAGTTTACTCGATTCAGACAATTCAGATGTAGCACTACAAAGTTTAGTTCCAGACGATAGTCTCGAATTCAGATAATAACCTCTAATTCAGACATTAACCTTCAGCTCCAGTTCGTTGTGCCAAACATAGCCTTAGTTTCTTCTAATGTGAAAGATCCACTTGAATGAATGAATGAATTATACTAGTAAGAAGAAAATGTATCGATTTATATATAACAAAAGAAATTGTTCATTGAAAGATAATTCCACCCTTAATAAAGCTTATGTGTCTTGTTCTCCTTAATTCTCTCCTTTTTCATGAGAATGACATGTGGTTTTTTTCACTCCAAATGTATTTAAAAAAAAACCCAAATTTATTTAAAGTGTTATAACTTTTTCATTTTTGCTCCAATTTTTATAAAAAAATTTATAAAAATTGATATTTTTTTGTGATATTTCATTTGAGATCAATATTGAATATATAAAAAATCAAATTTTTTTACAGTCTCTATAATTCTGTATAAAATAAAAGTATACTCCCTTCGTTCCAATTTGATAGTCCTGTTGCGGTTTATGACACTTAACCGAAGATAAAGCAAATGAATTTTTGTTGGCACTCAGATTATTTGTAGCAAATGAAATTTACATATTCGAAAATTACATTAAAAGTTTTACAAAGTCGTAATAACCTGAATCAAATTTCATTAAAATTTGATATAAAAAGTAAATGATTAAGAATAATTTGAACATGAACTAGGATCATCAAATTATGACGAAGGTAATATATATTTATATATAAGAGTAGTAGGCTATTAAAAATATGGTTTTACCCTCAATTATTATGTAACATGTCTACCTACAAGTGTAGAGAGCATTGCTCTACTGATGTCAGGTAGCTTCATCTTTTGCATTTTTTTTATTTGCTTTACAAAAAACGAATTACGGAGAGAGAAAATATAAAAATTTGGCCTACCAATATACGTCATCTATCTTAACGAAACCCCAGCCCTTAATATAGTCTTACTCTTAATAAAAATATAACAGTATACTCCCATTATTAAAGTGTTATAAACCTTATTCCTTCCTTATTATAATGTCATTCAAAATTCAAAAATTAGCAAATGAAAATGATAACCACATCGGGGTGCTAAACAGCTAATAAATAAAACTTCTAAATTTAATTCAATTTAATAGTATGATATTCTTTCTTTTTAAGAGACGGGACAAATATGAAAAAATTGATTAAACATTTTTGGTTTAGTTTGTTTTAAACTGATTTGATCTATTTATGTTTAGCTTGATTTAAGTTTTTTATGTTTGAATTGACTGAAGTTACTGTAGGTAATCATTCTAAACTACTTTTCATATAATTCTTTTCTTTATTTCATTAAAACAATATATTTTAAAATCTATTGTAGGTAATCAATAGATTCAACTAATTTAACCACTTCTCTCAGAACTTTATTCATTTGAACAGATTCAACTAATTTCACTGCTACTAAGCAGTCTCTAAAATCAAAATCAGTCCATGATAGAAGAAAGTCTAAAAATAATAAATTTATTTGAGAAAACTTTCTGAAATTATTTTATGATTTGAAGTGCACTGGTTTGCTATATAAAAAATTAGCAAATGAAAATCTAATTAGTTCTAATAAAATAAAACTTCGAGTTGGTCTATTTACTTCTTTTTCATCTTTTGCATTTTTGTTATTTACTTTACTAAGCGAATTTACATGAAAGAAGCACTATATTAGACTACCAACTAGAATTAGTAGTCAAATAAAACTGAATTTAGAAAAATGAAAAAAAAATGCGAATCAAAAGCTCACACTATTCATAATAATAAACCTACATAACATAAGCTCTTGCAATTGAAGAAACACTATAGTAGATTACCAACTAGAATAAGAAGCCAAACCAAACCTGAAGAAACATCAAAATAAACTTGCGGAAACAATACTCACAATATTCATAATAATGAGTGTGATAATTTCTCTGTCTCATATGTAGTTATTTAAAGTATGAGATAAGTCAACTAACAATTGAGCGGGAGAATTTCTCTCTCTCATATATATAGTACATTTAGGTATAAGGTAAGCTGGCTAACAATTGAACGGGAGAACTTTCTCTCTCATATGAAAGAGTTTTAGGTATAAGAAGATAAACATGCTAATAATTGAGCGGGAGAAATTTCTCTCTCATATGTAGTGTCTTTAGCTATTACTCCCTCCGTCCCGCTAACAATGGGACAAGAGGGAGTGACACACAAATTAATAAAAAATGGTTTATATGGTTGATATTGAATTGATAAAGTAAGAATAAAGTAAGAATGATTTAGAGCCACACAAACTTTACCAAATTTGGTATGAGACAATCTTAGTGGGACGGACCGATAAGGTTAAATGGGACAATCATAGCAGGACGGAGGTAGTATAAGATAAGTTTGCTAACAGTTGAGCAGGGAGATCGAGAGTGAGAATTTGCTATCTCATATGTAGTGCTTTTAAGTATTAGAATATAATCTTACTAACAGTTGAGTGGGATAAGTTTCTCTCTGATATTTAGTTCTTTTAAGCATAAGATAAGTCGGCTAACAATTGAGCGGGATAATTTTCTCTCTCATTTGTATTGCTTTTAGGTATAAGAAACTAAGAATATAAGCTTGCTAACAATTGAGTAGGTGAATTTTCTCTCTCATATGTAGTGTATTTGTACAAGGTAAGATAAGTCTGCTAACAATTGAGCGGAAGAACTTTCTCTATCATATATAGTTCATTTAAGTATAAGATAAGCCGACCACAATTTGGCAGAACAATTTCTCCCTATCATATGTAGTGTTACACTTTAGATTAATTTTGTGGTGGTTTGTGAGGACAGTACTAGAGGTTTGGAGTAAGTACCTCGGATCCTACAGGGTGGGGTGTTACAGGTAGTGTTTTTAGGTATAAGATAAGTCAGTTAATAATTGAGCGGGAGAACTTTCTCTTTTATATGTAAGAGTTGTAGGTACAAGAAGATAATAATGTTAATAATTGAGCGGAAGAGTTTTCTCTTTCATATGTACTGCTTTTAGATATTAGAAGATAAGTTGCTAACAGTTGAGCGAGGGAATGGAGCGTGATAATTTTCTCTCTCATATGTGGTGTTTTTAGGTATAAGCTAATCCGACTAACAATTGATCGAGTGGGACAATGTTCTGTGATATATAATTCTTTTAGGCGCAAGAGAAACTGGTTGAGTATTTAGCAGAATAGTTTTCTCACTCTCATATCTTAGTTCTAATTTAACTAATGAGTAACAACTTTTTTTTCAACTAATACTATTCATTAATTGTAATAATTATTCTACTCACTTAAACTTCATGTCACTCACCTATTGTTCTCACTTTTTCAGAATAATATTTAATTTTAAATTTAATTTAATAATGAAAATTTATAAGTAGTAAATTCTAATGAATTGTGTCAATTGATTTTTCCTAATATACTCTTCATTGAATATCTATTTGATGGAATATATGGCCCGGGAACCCCCGGCCCACAGACTCCTACTACTCCATCAAAGGCCCAACAGGCCCAACAGGCCCAAATCACAGCGCCCAGAGTACCAAGCAGTCCGCACAACGCACAGGGGTGCCTTCGGCCCCCTGGCCGAAGGCTACAAATTATCACAGAGCGGGTTTCTCAAGCAAACTAAGAAACTGGGAGAAAACGGCTAAAACAGCAGCCCTCGGCACTGTGAGCCCTCGGCACCAGGGGTGCCATCAGGAGGAAGAGCCCTCGGCTACTGCTCTATAGCCGAAGGCATCTCACTCGACAAGATATCCGCCTCACATGCGTACAGATCACCGTACTCTGCACAGACGTCCCATCCAACAGCCGCATTAAATGCGGCCACATGCGGCTGCCAGCGCCAACCAGTTGAGGTGACCCCTCGGCCAATGAGCGCTCGACACGTGTCCCTGCCCGGCATTTATTGCTGCTATAAATAGCACCCCATTTCCTCATTTGTAATCACGCTGAAAACGCTCCACATTTATAATACACTCTCTCTATATATATTTACTTGCTCTGACTTCTCTCTAGATTACTCCCCGTAATAACCCTTCGCATATATACCCCCGGGTAGACTATCCATCATTTGGTGCTCTCGTTGAGAGGTTGAACAATCGAGTAAGAAACCCTCCCCCTCGACCAAACACAAAACACTAGCCCTCTATCAAAATGGTGAGGACAACACGTGCCAACTCAAAGAACGTAGAAGACAAGAACCTGGCCCTCGGCGACGTCAACGCCCCCGAAGCCTCTCACAGGGCTCCCGAGGGCGGTGTCCTCGTTGGGCTGGAACAGGCGGCTGTCGACCTACGCCTTCAGATCCAACAAAACGCCCCCGATGCCCACCTCGGCATCGAGGCCAAGAAGAAAAACTGGAGCGATGACCAAGTCAGCCCTCCGGTTCTCACCATCGACGTACAATCGGCGCTCTCCGCCTTCATCCAAACGCTCACCCAGAACCCGGGTGCCTTCGGCACCCTGGCTCCGTCTCACCCTCAGATCGGGGAGAATATCATACTTCCCCCTCTGCCACACCCCTTCGGAAATCCCACCCCTCGGGTGAGAAACGATGAAGGGGTGGTGGCCCAAGAAACGTCCTCCCAGGAAGTTCAGTCCCGGGACCGCCATAATGACAACAGGG